TGAGCACAGGATGCTGGACTAGATGGGTCATTAGCAAGGATCTTATCAGCTGTCACTGCCATAGAACTGTAGAGCTGAAGTGGGGTTCCCTGTAAGCCATCTAGATCAACCCCATGATTGATGCAGGAAACCAAGATCTAAGGTGGTTGTCCACCTTCTGCTTGAAAACCTCCAACAAGCGGGAGACTACCAACCCTGCTAATTGATTCCAATGTCAACCTACTGTAAACAGTAAAGAAATTTCTTTTAATGTTCAGCTGAAACCTACCCTTCTGTAACATAAGTCTATTAATTCCAGTCCCGTCCTTTGGGGCAGCAGAATAATGTGTACACATTACCACTTACAGTGGCTCCAGCGCCCTCCCATGGCTGGTTTTTGAAGCTGAGTAGACATCACATTAGCCACAATCAATAGGTGTCCTGTAGCTACTGTTCAAGGTACTCTCCCATCTAACCAGCTTCCATCCGATTTGAAAATGGAAGCCATAGTTAAGCTAAAGTGTGTACATTTCAGGCAGCCATTGTGCAGGTGCAAATGACAGCTTCAGTGAACCGGAGTTTGGCGCAGGGAAACAAATTAGATCTCCAACTCCCATCAGCCTGGCCAATGGTACGGCAGGACGACAGCTGTAGCAACAGCTGGAGGGCCGTAGGTGAGTGCACACCTGATCTGCATCCTTCTTAATATGTGGTGCAGAAGGGCAAATTAAGGCTTTGAATGCAGGCCTTGCCCCCAAGCAAGTATAACACAGAGGGCCCCACTTTTAAGAGCAAAAGAAGAGAGAGAATGAAGGTGCCGTTGTGATCCCACAATCTCATCAGCATTTACTCTGGGGCTGTGATGTTATCATTGTAACCTGTACAAAAATATACCAAATTATATATACAGCAGTCTGCACAAAGTCCATGTATATCATAGTGATTGGATTCTGAACACATAAAACTGTATCATTCTGGAAACAAGATTTGGTAATATTTGCTCTCCCCCTAAAAATAATAATAATAATCCTGGGAGAATTTCATAAACATCAAATAATGTCCCAGTGCAATAATTTTCCATGGAAAGCAAGATATAAATTTTCAGTGTATATGACACTGATACTCTTGTCTGAATCTAAAAGAGTGAATATTATTCTCACACAAAATTGTTTTTTGCAGTTTTGTTCTCAGATGATCCAGAACAAACTTTTATTTATATTTCCACGATTTCCAGAAGCGGGGGGAAAACAGTTCTGGAAGTGGGCACATATTGTATAGCAAAGTATGGTACAGGTACATGCAAAGGACTAACGTGAGTAGTGTAAAACTACCTCCTGGTAGTACTGTCATTGCATTTTCTGTTCTACTTCTCAGAGGCTAGGGTCAATGATTAAAGGTAAAGGTAAAGGGACCCCTGACCATTAGGTCTAGCCGTGGCTGACTCTGGGGTTGCGACGCTCATCTCGCTTTATTGGCTGAGGGAGCCAGCGTACAGCTTCCGGGTCATGTGGCCAGCATGACTAAACCCCTTCTGGCGAACCAGAGCAGCGCATGGAAATGCCGTTTACCTTCCCGCTGCAGCAGTACCTATTTATCTACTTGCACATTTTGGCATGCTTTCGAACTGCTAGGTGGGCAGGAGCAGGGACGGAGCAATGGGAGCTCACCTCATCGCAGTGATTTGAACCGCTGACCTTCTGACCGGCAAGTCCTAGGCTCTGTGGTTTAACCCACAGCACCACCCACCTCCCAAGGGTCAATGATTACTCTCCTCCTAAAGAAATCTCTTTTTGCAATCGAGTTTTGAACAGGTAGAAAAAAGTGGATTTTTAAAAAAATCAAATTCAAGGTCATATAACTTTCCAATCAAAATTATAAATGAAGCAATGTTATTTCAAAGCATAATATTCCACCTATAACTATCATTCCAAACAAAGGAAGTCAACTTTCAATAGATGTGTACAGTTTCTGAGCAGTTGTGGTAATATAGCTGTATCCTATAGTTTAGATCAGGCTTCCTCAACCTCGGCCCTCCAGATGTTTTTGGCCTACAACTCCCATGATGCCTAGCTAGCAGGACCAGTGGTCAGGGATGCTAGGAATTGTAGTTTCAAAACATCTGGAGGGCCAAGGTTGTGGAAGCCTGGTTTAGATGGCCATTGGTGAACACTTGGAATCTTTAAGCAAGGGCAGCCAATCTGCCATCCTCCAGATATTGTTAGACAACAACTCCCATCGTCTCTGACCCACTGAATGTGGTGGCTTGGGCTGATGGGACTTTGAATCCAACAGCAGCTGGAGGACATTGACTACCCCTGTTTTACAGGTTGACCATAAGCTATAGATGGCAGTTTGAGAATTCATCAGCGTTTTAGTCTATACTTGTTGTATGCCTAATACATACATATTTGCAAAGCAGTTCTCCCTAATATAATGAACTTTTGTTGTATTTCATTAATATATGCATTTCTATGCACACTTTAATATATGCATTGCCGTACACAGTACTTGCATTGCAAAATTCAGAAAAGTGTAGATTTTGAAGGATGGATGCATTTTTGTTCACACATTGTTTCAGAAATTGTAAAATTGTAAAATAGGTAGGTTCGCTTTTAAATGTGAACAGAATCAAATCTATCCCCAAGCCCTACCTTGAACCACCTCATATTAAAAATAATCATCTGACACAAGAACATTTACAGATACTGTTTATTTGCCAGACAAAGAAAAGGGGAGAGCTGTTTGATAAGTGGCGGGCAGGCAGTGTGATAATAATCACATATATGCATAATAATCATAAAGCTTTTCTTTCATGTATATTGAGTGGAAAATAAGAAGTGTAAGCCATTAGTACTCTTTGTTCAAGTTACTACAAAGAGATTTATCAACTGATCCTTATTTAACCTCAGAAGATACAATTACACAGCAGAGAGATGAAGCCATATTTACATGAGAAATACGTGTTGGTTTTTTGAACATTTAACAGCTACTCCAAGGATTTTGAGAGTGATAGTTTAGTGGAGTACTGAACATTTTCTGTTATAGAATATTCTAGCTCCTTCTCACAGAATGACAATCCCTTGGGATCTCTGGAAAATGGGAATAACTATTAAATCTGTTCCCACCAGTAGCAATGAGGAGCAAAGTGTTATTTCCACTGGGAACTACAAAAAGAATATACAACAGTATTTGCTTTCCCATGAACAATTGGAAACTGTAGTTATCTGAGCTAGAAACAGACAGCATCTTCACCAAACAATAATTCCCAGGCCTCATTCTGAGACTTCATAATTAAACAAATATAACTTTGATGCAAGCATAGTTCACATATGATAAAAGAAATACAGATGTTCCGTGGGATGCAGGGATGAGGAACATGTGGCCCTCCAGATGCTGTTGGCTTCCAACTCCCACCAACCCCAGTCAGCATAATTCAAAAACATCTGGATGACCAGAGGTTCCCTACCCCTCATCTAATGTAATGGACCTAAAATAGTTTTCTCTGACCCATTGAGTAATAAATACTATAATGGGAGGAATCAACAGCCACCATCTCTCAGGTCAATCCAACTACCTCCAAAAATTGTTAAATTAAGTTTCTGAACCTGTTCACAAAGGCTAGCATTAGAAACACAGGGTTGTGTTCAAGTAACTTTTATCCAAGGCAGACCCATAAAACGAATGAACATGAGACATGTGCCATACATTTAAAGCAGTATCACACCACTTTAAACAGTTTTGGTTTCTCTTTAAAAAATCAAGGGAACAGTATTTTGTCAAGGGTGCCAAGAGTTGCTAGATGAGCCTTATTCCCTTCACAAAGCTACAGTTCCCAGAGTGGTTTATCCACCAGTCTCTCTTCCCAGGGACCTCTGGGGGCTGTCACTCTGTGAGGGGAATGGGATCTCCCAAGCACCCTCAACAAACTACAGTTCCCATAATTCTTTGGAGGAGTAACAACTTTTTAAGTGGCATGATACTGCTTTAAATGCATAGCGCAGATGGGGCCCCAGTTAGTCTTGGCCACTGATTTTGATGGATCTACCCAAGTAAGGGTTGGTTGAATACAACCCACAGCGTCCTCATTCCAGCACCCAGGTGGGAAGCCCTGCTCATACTACGTGGCTGAGCCTGAAGATCAGTCATTTTAATTTCCTACAATGCCCTTGACATAGTGTGGGATTCATCAGCACAAGCCCTGTGTGAGTGCCACCTCTCGTGCAAAGGGGCTTTCCACCTTCTTCTTCCCCCTCATGCTCCCTGCCAACCCTGAAATTGGCTTGGAGAACATTGGGAGAACCTCCAGAACAACACACAAGGGGCAAAGAGAGAGGACCATTCCACCTGGCACGTTGCAATGCTTGTGCTGCTGGGACATTCACCATAGCACAATGCTGAAATCCACCCAAAATGTCTTCCCTAGGATTCTGGGCTTCAATATGAATATTATTGACTACTTTAAGTCACCCAGCAAACAGCCAACATTACTAGGTGCAGAAATCTTCATGAAAGGATGGCGCCATATCCTGAGGCAAGAGGTTGTCAATAATTATGGGTTGTAACCAAAGTTAGCCCTTCTCAGAGGAGACCCACTGAAGCTAGTGGACACATGACTAACTTAGGTCCATTAATTTAAATGGCTCTACTCTGATTATAACTTAGTTGGATACGATGCAATGACTGAAATGGTGGGGGTTTCTCAGTGAGGTTGCCCTCTCTGACACCCTTCTCACCCCTATGGCAAAACCCATCATGCGGCAAAAACCCACCACTTCTGTAGTGATGTTCAGAATCAAGGTGTTCTGGACCAACATATATTATGACTTTGGGATGGGTGGGGGGAGTTAAAAGGCCAAAGAAAGGGAATCCCCTAATGCCAAGATCTCCCTCGTTTTTAACACAAATTGCAGTGATGGATAATGGCATATTGTTTTCCTCAGCAAACAGAAACATCCCCCACTGCCCCCAAACAATATTCTGGGCCTGAACTTTATCTGATGATGGAGCAGCTTCCTCCATACCCTGTTCGACATCCACTCCCAGAGTTGCGTCTCGCGTCTCCACTGCTGCATCCGGTATTAGCAGAAGCAGCAGCACCAGTGGCGTAGCCACCGCTTGAACACTCAGAGGTGTGGGTCACTCCACAGCCTCCTGTGCTCTCAGTGGTGTAGCCTCCACCAGCTGAGGAAATGCATGGTCCACTTGAGCTGCAACCCCCGCTTCTGGAACTATATCCTCTGCTCCTAGAACTAAAGCCTCCACTGCCTATGGATCCTAAGCCACAATCCCTAGGTCCACAGGGAGCCACACTACTGGTATTGCACTGCCCAAATCCAGAGCTCATTGTGCATCTCGAAAGGTACCCTCCACTCCTAGAGCTAAATCCAGCTCTGTAGTTCAGCCTTCCACTTCTGGAACTGAATCCTCCACCGCCGCTGGCACTTTGTCCTTCTGATCCAAGTCCATAGACACATCTCCTTCCAAATCCACCACCTCCTCCCAAGGTACCACCATATGCAGCTCCACCGCCTGGAGAGATGTTGGAGCAACCCAACACAGCTACAAGAGTAGAGGAAAAGAAACAGTTACTCAGACACACACACATCTAAGGCCTCTTAGTGAAATGAATAGCATTTTTCAATGCAATAATAAAGGTAAAGGTAAAGGCACCCCTGACCATTAGGTCCAGTCGCGGACGACTCTGGGGTTGCGGCGCTCATCTCACTCTATAAGCCAAGGGAGCCGGTGTCTGTCTGCAGACAGCTTCCAGGTCATGTGGCCATGATGATTAAGCCACTTGTGGTGAACCAGAGCAGCGCACGGAAACGCCGTTTACCTTCCCACTGGAGTGGTACCTATTTATCTACTTGCACTTTGACGTGCTTTCGAACTGCTAGGTTGGCAGGAGCTGGGACCGAACAGCAGGAGCTCACCCCGTCGTGGGGATTTGAACCACCGACCTTCTGATCAGCGAGCCCTGAGCTCTGTGGTTTAGACCACAGCACCACCCGTGTCCAAATGCAATAATATATAGCTTTAAAGTTACTTACCTATGTTAACTGGAGTAGAACTACATATCCTATTGAGAAAAGAGAAGAAAATGTTAATATTCCAAGAGTGCCACAATTCTGTAGTAATCGGGAATTTAATAATAGCAGCAGAAGTAGTCAAAATGTTAATTCCCCCCCCCCAATATTTCAGAATTCTAATTATTTTCAAATTTTCTTTAATATTTTCGAATCTCACTTTTGAAATGTGACTTTGAGGAATAGTGAATAATTGAAAGGCAAGTTTTTTGTGTAAGCTTACTAGGCTCAATCATATCATATATTATTTGGCCATGTTTCAAAGCTTAGTAACATTTAAGAATCAACCACACATTATTGAGATAACTTGATAACAGGATTTCTTCCTGGATTCCAGCCGATTAATTCAGCATCTTAATCCAAGCGCTCCCTGAGGAGTGATACTTCTATGATGTAGTAATCTGTTCTATTCATTTATTCTGTATTCGTTTTATCAATGCAATGTTATTGTTGATTTTAGGTTGTTCATCAAAATCTCTATATTTACATTCCAAAGAGCAATGTAAGCAACATTCCAGCAAGGATGTATGAGTATTGCATGGGCGCTAATTTTTTCCCCACCCACCTGCTCTCTTCTCCTTCCAGAAGTGACCTATACATAGCAATCTCGATGTCCAAAGCCATCTTGACATTCAGCAAATCCTGGTAATCCCTTAGCAGGCGGGCAAGTTCATCCTTAGAGCACTGCAGGGCATTCTCCACCTCCGCAAGTTTGGCCTTGGCATCCTTCAGGGCACAGTCGCCACGCTGCTCATTGTCAGCGATAGCTGTCTGTAGTACATCAATCTTCAAAAGGCACAGATAAAGAGAGAAAAGAGTTGGTCCATGAATAAATAATTAATAATAATAATAATAATAATAATAATAATTTATTATTTATACCCCACCCATCTGGCTGGGTTTCCCCAGCCACTCTGGGTGGCTTCCAACAGGAGATTAAAAATACATTAAAACATCAGTCTTTAAAAGCTTCCCTAAACAGGGCAGCCTTCAGATGTCTTCTAAATGTCAGATAGTTGTTTATTTCTTTGACATCTGGTGGGAGGGCGTTCCACAGGGCGGGCGCCACTACCAAGAAGGCCCTCTGCCTGGTTCCCTGTAACTTCGCTTCTCACAGTGAGGGAACCGCCAGAAGGCCCTCGGCGCTGGACCTCAGTGTCCAGACATAAGGATGGGGGTGGAGACGCTCCTTCAGGTATACTGGGCCGAGGCCGTTTAGGGCTTGAAAGGTCACCCTGAGTGTAATAACATTCAATGAGTAGGAGAAAGATCTTCATCTACTCTGCCTCCTGGCCCAGTCTAAGTAGATAGTCACAGACTACATGCATTCCATACTTTTGAAGCACATTCAAAGCACACACCCACCCAGGAATCCTGATAAATGTAGTTTCTTAAGGGGCTAAGAATTATAGTTCTCTGAGGGGTAATCTGCAGGTTCCAGGATTATTGGGGGAGGGCAGCAGAATGCGCTTTAAGACTATGGTATGCATGCAGCCCCAGATTCTGGAGCCGTATGTGATTCTTCTGATTCAGTTTAGTCCAGGCTAATCATTAGAAATTAAGAAATGATCAGCAGCTAGAGGTGTCTTTAAACTCTATGTTGTGAAGGAAACAGCTGGGGCAGGAAAGGGGAAACGTAGGGTGGTGGTGGGGAAATCAGATGACTTCTCGGAGGGGAGAATCAGAAAGGAAGGCAGCTGGTAGAAACAGGAATGGAAATTATGTATGAGCAGGTGGGTTTTTTAAATTATCAATGAGGTTTCAGGTTTTGGAATGAGTAGAATATAAACCTAAGGGACGCAGGTGGCGCTGTGGGTTAAACCACAGAGCCTAGGACTTGCCGATCAGAAGGTCAGTGGTTCGAATCCCCACGATGGGGTGAGCTCCCGTTGCTCGGTCCCTGCTCCTGCCAACCTAGCAGTTCGAAAGCATGTCAAAGTGCAAGTAGATAAATAGGTACTGCTCCAGCGGGAAGGTAAACGGCGTTTCCGTGTGCTGCTCTGGTTTGCCAGAAGCGGCTTAGTCATGCTGGCCACATGACCCGGAAGCTGTACGCCGGCTCCCTCGGCCAATAAAGCGAGATGAGCGCCGCAACCCCAGAGTCGGTCACGACTGGACCTAACGGTCAGGGGTCCCTTTACCTTTTAGAATATAAAGCAATGAATCTAGCAAGCGAAGACAGCATTAATGCCTTAACTTTTATTACAGGAGGATCAGGAATTTTCCTTCCTTCGCCTCCCATTTTTGAATAGATATAAAAAAATATTCAGTTCTGAAGGATGAGCACAAAGGACAGTGTGAATCTGGGGGTGGCCAATGAGGTGACCTCCAGTTGCTGTTGGCTCCTACCATCCCTGATGGACTACATCTCCCATTGACAAAAAGTACCTGGAAGGCTCCTCATTGACTAACCCTGGTGTACATCAAGACCAGGGAAATGATTTCTGCTGCTCAATCGTCTCCTGTTCGACTTCACCTCTCTCACCTGTTTCTTGGCATTTTCCATATCAGCCTTGAGTCGCTGGATAAGGCGCGTCAGGTCCTGGATTTCATGGCGGCCCTTAGCCAAAGCGTCACAGTGATGCCCATAGGTGGACTGCAGATCTTTGAACTAAAATCAGAGAGAAAAATTTTTTGCCTCTGTGGATTCAGTTATCTAAAACAGTGGTAACAATCCATGGCATTTGCTTCTCTCTGTTTCAGACAGTCCTATATCATGTTTACCTTGGTTTCGTAAAGAGCATTGACCTCATCCTTGCTCCTCTGTACAATCTCCTCATACTGACACCTCACAGAGTTAATGATCCCCTCCATGTCCAGCTCTCGGTTGTTGTCCATAGACACAACAACATTGGTGTCAGCTGTTGTTGTCTGTAAGCTTTCTATTTCCTGAAAAGAAAACATATAATTGATTTTTTTTTTAGCAGGTCATTAATTGTCCATACTGGAGGGAGACAGTTTGGGCTGTTCCACGTGGCCACTCTATTCTTGTGACTCTAACACCTATTAAATGGTTTTAAGTTCTGATTTTTAAAGTGTTGTAACCCACCCGGGTACCTGATGGTGAACGGCAGGTAATAATTTTAATGTGAATTATGATTAGTTTGTATTTTTAAAGCTTTCTGCTGTATCCAGTATTAATAGCAGACACTACTTCATTAGCTGTAGAGATGGATGAACTATCTAAAGTTGTCTTCCGGTTGCCTTGGAAATTGGCATGGGGAATTAGTTTGATTCAGCTCACATTTAAAGGTGGATCTATCGAATTTCACAATGCAGTTCTCCAACCAATGTTCACAAGAATGCATATGCTGGGGGAAATAGCATGCAAAACTGCTTTATTTTAGGGGACATTGCTTGAAAAAAATTGTACATTGGTGAAAACTTCATATAAAATGTGTTTATCAGGAGATATTCAAACTAAACTGCAGGCGAAATTTCACGAGGATTTGTTTTTCTTATTTCAAAAATCGTGAATTGCTGCAGAAATGTGAAAAATTGAATTTAAGTTAAGAAAACAGAGATCCAAAATAAATCATGAGAAATACTTACTGCTTCATGGACACATCTGAGGAACTCCAGCTCCTGTCTTAGAGCTTCCACTTTCACCTCCAGCTCCACTTTGCCGGTGTAAGCACAGTCTACATCCTGAAAGACAAGACACAATAAATACTTCTCTTGTAATTCAGTGACAACAAGCCTTGCTTAAGAAAGAGAGGAGAGGAGGTCTCCATACTTTCAGTCAAGAAAGACCTGAGCTTTAATATGGCAGATAATTAAATCAACCATTCTTGTGTTATCTACCTGTCTCAAATGGAGTTGGGAGAGAGTAGTGGCACAGTCGGAGGAAGGGCACCTTTCTGTCAATGTGCAGCTTCCCAGAACTTTTCCAAACAATATATACTTATGGGACTGTGCTTCCCATATTGGTATATTTCCATGCATTTGAAGTGGCTCTCACTACTGCACTCAATGGGACTTTCTTCTGAATAGAGATGTTTAGAATTGCACCGTGTCACTTCCTGCAATCCACTGTAGCTGCCACAGAGTGAACCCCAAAGTTTTACTGTCTGTAACCTGACATCCAATGATATTTGCTTGATTCTAAAAAAGGTAAAGGTACCCTGGACCATTAGGTCCAGTCGCGGACGACTCTGGGGTTGTGGCGCTCATCTCACTCTATAGGCCAAGGGAGCCGGCATTACTCCACAGTTTTTCCGGGTCATGTGGCCAGCATGACTAAGCCGCTTCTGGTGAACCAGAGCAGCGCACGGAAACGGTGTTTATCTTCCCGCCAGAGTGGTACCTATTTATCTACTTGCACTTGACATGCTTTCGACTCTTAGATCAAAAGGGGGAAAATCACTGTAGCATTGCATATGTATGTATACTATGATTTTATCAGGCCTTTCTAAAAAAAATATAAAAGGGTATAGGGTACACACAACCGTCTAGATGTTGCCAGACTACAAATTCCATCCACCTGGCTGGAGCCGATGGTGGGGCTGAGTCTATCAACATCTGGAAGGCCATCAGTTCCCTACTTCTGCTATAATATAGACATCATGCAAAGAAAGGCCTATTATAAGGTACCTAGTAAGAAGAATATGATGGATAAAAAGAAAGATCTTTTTCCAGCACTGTGCTTAGAAGATGCTTTGGGGGGGTCCTTCTCAAGCAGGGCAAATTGTCATGACCATGCCATGCCTCCAACTCTCTGAACATTTTAATTAATTGCCTTTTCCATTCTTCGAAACCAATTTGACTCACCTTTTTCAGCAACACAAATTCATTTTCCGCAGCCATACGCCGGTTGATTTCTTCTTCATACCTTGCAGTGGAGAACAGAAGGAGATACAAAGCTTCCTGAGAATCAGCTCTACTGCAAAGTGTCTGGGAGCCACTGTCTGGGCATGGACAGAAGGCTGGACTTGCATTGGGGAGATTCTGGCTTGGGACTCAGAAGCACAGGGTGAAAGAAGGGCGAGCATGTTCATCATATTGAACCAGGCAATATTTCTCCACTGAATCTACCTCGTAGAACTCAGAATGAAAATAAAGGTAACACTTAGCACTTGTTTTATAAAGCACACTTCAAGTGTCCAAACATTTTAGTCACACTACCACCATAATCTTTACAATAGCTCTATAAGGTGGGCCAGCATTATTCTTCTCAAATTGCCGATAGCTGTGTCTTAGAACCATCACAAATGGTTGGAGGACACAGCATGCCAGGAGAAATAGGCCCCTTACTCATTTCTTAAACCAGACCTTTTTGGGGGAAGACAGCCCACCATTTACCTGCATTTGTACTCTTCGACCACATCCTGGAATTTAGCTTGCTCACATTGCAGCTGCTCCCGCTCATTCAGCAAAAGATCCAGCTGCCTCCTCAAGGTTGCAATGTAGTTCTCAAACAGGTGGTCAATGGTTTTCTTCTCAACAGGCCCCTGTTGCTGAAGGCAATTCCATTTGGTTTCCAAAAGCTTGTTTTGCTGCTCCAAGTGCCTCACCTGCAATTAAAATGGAGCCATGGTGATAGTCTACTAAACACAGGAACCTATTAGGTCTTCCTATGAGGTGGAGAAAAATCTCCTCCTCAGTTCTTGAATCCAGTGGGTTGGGTTTTTTTGCCAGAACCAGGCATTGGCATTTCATGCATTTCTAAAGCAAACAGAAGAGTTGAGTTGACAATGAAGAAACAGAGTGAACCCACAATTATCTAGGAACATAAAGAGCTCTGCTGGATCAAGCCAAAGGCCCATTGTAGTCCATTGTTCTGTTCTCACAGTAGCTAGCCAACCCACAAGCAGTACCTTGTGTGTAACAGCATTCTCTCACTTGTGACTCCCAGGAACTGAGTTGATGGGTAGTATACTATGCAGTACAGCTGTAATTGCTTAGGGAATGCTATCTGAGAAGAAATGACTACTTTTAAGTATACAGTGACAAATTATAGAACAAGAGCATTTAAATCTGCCATTGGAAAAAAGAATGGTTTGCAAATAGACAGAGCTGCAAGCCTTATAGTGCAATCCTATGTTTATTGGCTCAGAATTGACAGTTTGCCCTCCTGTGTTGAATGGGGCTTACTCCCAAGCAAGTTTTATCTAAGCGTGCAGTCATAATCAATTTAATTGTTAATCAAGTTAAGGTTTGGCCTGGGAGCAAGCCACACAGAACGAGAGCTTAGAAAATCCATTAGAAAAAATAAAAAATAAATGAGTCCAGTTCACATTTGTCGCTTTACTAAAGAAACTAGTTTGGTTCACATTCAGTTCCCAGTTCAAATTCATCCAAAGGAAACATCAAAATGGAATATAAATAGTTTACTATTACACACACACACACACACACACACACACACACACACACAATGATCTTCAAGTTTAAATTCCAAAGGGCCTGAAAGAGTTCAGTCCATTTCTGCTTAAATAGAATTGGGGAAGGGCCACAGGACAGAGGTACAGAAGGTCCCAGGTTCACTTTCCAAGCACCTCCCAATAGGGCTGGGAGTCTCCCCTGTCTGAACCCCTAGAGAGCTGTTGTCTGTTTGCAAAGACAATACTGGGTTGGGTGCGGTTTGTCTGAGGCAGATTTAGGAGAGCATGACCAGTTTGGTTGCACTGGACACAGAGCCTTGGGGGCGCTGCAGGCAGTGCTGTCATGTAGAATGGAAGACGAGAGGTGGGAGTCACTGATTTTTGGCAATGCGCAGGGCGCTACTGAAATTTTGAGACCCCACTGGGATTTTATAAGGCAGCTGGAAATGATGCACTTCCATCACCTCCATAAGTTAGAGCAGCCAAGAAAAGGGGGCAGCCATTTGCACCCACACACTCAATGCATGTAAAAACCCAGAGGGATTTATTTGCTTCCATGGACCTCTTGCTTTAAAGCAGCTGGAGAAGGAGGCCCTGCTTGGTAAAAAGGTAAAGGACCCCTGACAGTTAAGTCCAGTCGTGAACGACTCTGGGGTTGCGGCACTCATCTCGCTTTACAGGCCAAGGGAGCTGTCTGCACACAGTTTTTCTGGGTCATGTGGCCAGCCTGACTAAGCCGCTTCTGGCGAAACCAAAGCAGCACACAGAAACGTTGTTTACCTTCCCACCAGAGCGGTACCTATTTATCTACTTGCACTTTGATGTGCTTTCGAACTGCTAGGTTGGCAGGAGCTGGGACTGAGCAATGGGAGCTCACCCCATCACGGGGATTCGAACCGCCGACCTTCTGATCAGCAAGCCTAGACTCTGTGGTTTAGACCACAGCGCCACCTGCGTCCATAGACCATAGGAAAGAAGTTGGAGGATGCAGAGCACATCTCACAGCTAAACTCCCTCTTGATCATTCTGCCCATGGGTTGTGCTGGCCACTGCTGAGTGCTGTGCTGCAACTTGCCTCTTTTCACGCAGTCTCCAAGAGGCTGCTGGTCAGGATTTTAGGAATCTGCACAGTTTGGTTCTGCAGGGTTTCACACTAGGATTCTAGCCTATTTTATCCATGCCCTGGTAATCTCACAGTTGGATTACTGAAATGCATTCTACAAGGGCCTACCCATGTAGACGGTCTGGAGATTATAACTAGTTCTAAATGCAGCAGCCAGATGATCATCAGGCACATTTGCAAGGGATCTTATGACACCAGTTCTTAAATATTAATGCTAGATGCCTATTAGTCGCCATTCCCCATGCAGTCTTGCCCAGTAGCACCCCACCTGTGGAATATTCTCCCCTCTGACCTCTGTCTGGCTTCTGCATTGTATATATTTTGGCACCCAATAAAAGCTTGCTTTCTTCTTGCAGGCCTTTTATGATAGTATGTCCAGATTGAAGGACTATTACTTTTGGTGGATTTTTCTTTTAAACTCTGTTTTATCTCTTTATCTTCTTTGTTGTGACCCATTCCAACACCATACACAATAAAATAACCAATGCAGGCCAATTTTGATCAGTCTGGAGGCATTAGAATCACTTTTGTTAATAAGGGCTGTTTTGGTTCTGGTGTGTTACTGTAGTGTGGACATTATCTCACAGCCCTTTAATGCTCTAAAAGGATATTTGCCCTGTATTTTTTAGTTATATGCAAAGCTATTTAAATAATTAATATTTAAATCAACATTTTGATTAGCTGATTAGTAAATAAACATAGTTGATTAGTCAGTTTTATTTCACTGATTGACAGGCCTAGAAATGAAATCTGTTTTTAAAAGGCAAGGAGAAATGTAATCATAATTTGAGTAATTCGGAAACTAAACATGCAGTCCAAATGGCTATACATCCCTGCATTTCCCCACTTAATCCCAGACACAAAAACTACTAGAAGCTCTTTGAAAAGTGAAACATCTCTTTGTCTCTTCACAAGAGGCTAACTCAAACAGAATGCACCAGAGCAGACTCACCATACAATCTCACCTTATCGATGAAGCAGGCAAACTTGTCATTGAGGCATTTGATTTGCTCTCGCTCCTCCACCTTCACTCTAGAGATCTCTGGATCAACCTGTATGCAAAGGGGCCTCAAGAGGTTTGTATTGACCCTGACCGACTGGATCCCCCTGCAGTCACCAAAACGGCCAATGGGCTCGTAGCCCAAACCCCCACAAACAGGGCGGCCACAAATAACGCTTCTGCTGCCATACACACCACCACCCAGACTCGGGCTGCCAAAGCCAACTGTCCTATAGCCTCTGCCACAAACGCCACCAAAACTTTGGCTGCTGAAGCCACCATATCTGTAGCTACCACTTCCTTCGCCGCCGTAGCCTCCAAGGCTTTGGCTGCCGACTCCTCCAGCTGTGCCATAGGCCCCTGCACTTCGACTACTGAAGCCTCCAGGCCTGCCAATGCCAGCACCATAACCTACATGCCCAAAACCATAGCCCAATGGCCCAGGACCATAGCCCAAACCACTGAAGTCCCTAAAGCCTGCACTGTATCCACCAGAACTTCCTCCGTATCCACCAAGGCTTCCGCCAGAAAGTCTTCTGCTACGGCCGATATTATAGTGGCTTATACTGCTGTAGCCACCACATCGGCCTGCTCCGGTGTAGCAGATGGAAGACAGACTGTTGCCACCCCTAAATCCACTGCTGATGGCCGAGCCAGATGATGGCCGTCTTCCATTAAGGGACCGGGAACTGAAGCACTGCCGGCTCATGATGGCTTAATCAGAGATGGGACAGAGATTATTGAAGCAAAGCTGAGCTGCAACCAGATGTCCCAGAGAGAGGGGAAGAGAATGGAATCCCTTTTCACATGTCCACTGGAAGTTGAGGCTTTATATACCTTCAATAAAATGGGCTTGGCCTCAAGATAGCAATCAGTTTAATCCATGGGGCTGGTTGACTTGGAAGTCATAAATGGCAAATGAAATGCATTTTTCAACATGCATACAAAAGGAGACATCAAAGAAAGAGAACCTTATGCCAATGAAGTAATCTGAAATGGGGAGAAGTCGCTGGGCTTGCAAGCAGCTGAATGATGATGTTGTGTTAGCTAATTAATCTGTTTTCCATAAGGCAATTAGGCTCAAGCTAAATGGCTTCAGGAAGGCCCTTTGCAATTTGCCTCATGCAGATGCCACCATCCTGCCCCATCTTCCATGCAGCGGCAAAGGAAGGGGGCTGCGGTGGGTGCGGGCTGCCCCGGGTGCAGTGGCGTAGCGTGGGTTGTCAGCACCCGGGGCAAGGCAAGTAATTTGCGCCCCCTAACCCGTGGATTTGCGCCACCTAACCCATGGATTTGCACCCCCTAACCCTAACCCCCAGATGTTGCGCCCGGTGCGGCCGGCCCCCCCTGCACCCCCCACTCTACGCCACTGCCCGGGTGTCATCACTGAGGGAGGTGTGTGTGTGTGTGTGTGTGTGTGACAAAATGACAAAATATGAGTTTCACAATAAATAAATAAATAGATAAATAAATAGGCTCACGAAACTTTTTAGTTCAGTCAACAAACGCAATGAAGCGTGACTGCCACTGGGCGCCACACTGCGGAGGCTGGCACTTAAATGCACAAAAATGGCAAAGTCAGGCAATACCTACTAAAGAAGTGCGGCAGTTAAAACTGATGGAACACGCTGAATTAGCAAATTTAACTATCAAGAGATCAAGAAGAGGCAGACTTTAAGGCGGAGTGGAAACCTTTTGTGGAATATTGAAAGAATTATTGTAAACATGTAAAAATGCAGGTAGGATTTGAATGAAGAACAGCAGTTGAAGACTTATTGGAGTGCAATTTGGAAAAGACAGAATATTTATAATATGCAACAAATTTAGAAGTTACAGGGGAAACCATGGAGGGGAAGTCAAATGTGAAATGGATGTGTATTTGGAATGTATGTATCGTTTTGCAAACTTTTGAAATTCAGAACTAAAATCATTAAAAACAAGGTGTAAAAGTCCTCTCAAAGATATGTAACAGGTATGGGTAACCTGAGACCCTCCAGTTCTTGCTGGACTACAGCTGATGAGAGTTGGAGTCCAACTATGGCTATAATGCACCCAGGCTCCCCACCTCTGACATAATCAGGATTACAATGGGGGGGGGGCGTAAATCAAATCTCATGCCTACTATTTTCATTGCTCATTATTATTGACACATCTCAAAAAGCCATTCCATTTTAAATCAAATGATTGTGCCTTTAACATGCACAGCTGGCACATCTACCCTTTTATTATTTATAGCCTGAAAAGATCAGTGAGTGGAGCCAGCTGGTTGGCTGGAAAATTATGAAAACATGAACACACTCTTCTCCCTGCTTCTATATAGCTTACAGTGTTGTTGTAATGATTATTGCAATAATGCCTGTGTGTTTTTTTTTGGTGGGGGATACAATATAAAAGCTGAAGCATGATTGTTTGTTGTTACTATCACCCTTATCTGTTCAGAAGATGTTTCTAATACAGTGGTACCTTGGTTTGCAACCATTTTGGATTACAACCACGTCAAACCTGGAAGTGTGTCCCCCTTTTTTTGGATTACAATCCATTTTGGGGGAATTACAACCCCCCCTTTTTTGGAGGCCCCATTGGCGAAAGCACGCCTTGGGTTACAACCTGTTTTGGTTTACAACAGGTCCTCCAGAACGGATTATAGTTGTGAACCAAGGTATCATTGTGCAATAGAACCTCTACTTACGACCGCCTCTACTTGGGCCCAATCCAAGTCGTGACTGCGGCAAACCCGGAAGTAAATACCGGGTTTGCTGTGATTCATGTACGCGTAGAAGCAGCTTCTGCCATTTGCACATGCGCAGAAGCAGCTGCCGCCGTCTGCACATGCGCACAACGGCGCTTCTATCAGCAACCCATTTCACCTAAAGGACAGGCCACCGGAACAGATTATGGTGGTAAGCAGAGGTTCCACTGTACTGGGATGGTGTTGTTGTACTGAGACACAATTAATGCAAGCAACAAGAAATGAAGAGAACCATTAGCATCATCCAGGCACAAATTCATAGAACTGAAGAACAACAAACCATCAGAAATGCTGTCATGTGATGGCAGTGGGGCCGGCTCCTGATCCAATAGACCCAGGCAAACTTTGTCCTGCCCCCCCCATTGCTCCATTTTGAGGCATTACACTAGATCCTGCTGGCAGGAACCGCACTACAGTGGTGCCTCGCAAGACGAAATTAATTCGTTCCGCGAGTTTTGTCGTCTTGCGATTTTTTTCGTCTTGCGAAGCACGGTGTCGGGAAAGTTTTGGAAAAGCTTCAAAAATCACCAAAGTCTTAAAAAACCTCAAAAAAGGCTACCACACCGCGTTCTATGAGTTGCTCCTCGAAGTCAAGTCGCAACTGTATTAACGGTGTTAAGAAAAAGGAAACAAACTTGCAAGATGTTTCCATCTTGAGAAGCAAGCCCATAGGGAAAAACGTCTTGCGAAGCAGCTCAAAAAACAAAAAACCCTTTCGTCTAGCGAGTTTTTTGTCTTGCGAGGCATTCGTCTTGCGAGGTACCACTGTAGCTGCGTTTACACCCACTCATGCATACAACGGAATCATAGAACCATAGAATTGTGTGGGTCATCTAACCCAACCCATTGCAATGCAGGAATCTCAACTAAAGCACCCATGGCAGATGGGCACCCAACCTCTGCTTTAAAACTTCCATTGCAGGAGAGTACAGCACCTTCTGAGGTAGTCTGTACACCAGATGATCCTGCAGGAGAGTTAGTGGAGAGAGCCCCCGCAGTAGCAGTTCCATTCTCCTCATCAAGGCCTGAAAAACTGCCTGCATTGTAGTATGTTGATTTGTCGTCCTGGATTTAACATATTTCTTCATGTGTGGCGAAATGCCAGCAGCTGTACATCTGTCAGTAAGAAGCATTCTAATTGAAGCCAATGGCTCTCCTGCCTCTCGCTCAGCAAGGACAGCAAGTGCTGTGGTTCACATGCCTCATAATCATTTTTTTAATTTGGAATAGCCCAGCCTCTAGCAGTTCTTGGTCACTCGGCTACTTTTCAGGACTGGAATGCTAGTTAAGGTCTGGACCTTTGAGTAAATATGAAACCAGGCAAGCAACCTGCAGTGGTGGAGCTGAAGAAAGCATCAAGGCTAAGCTACAACCCAGCAAGTGAGTCATTTGCTGACTTAAATGAGAAATACCATCAGTATTTCTGAGACAAGCAGCTTGCAAGTGCTGTTGTACACAGCGGCGTAGCGTGGGTTGTCAGCACCCGGGGCAAGGCAAGTAATTTGCGCCCCCTAACCCGGGGAAAGGCAAGTAATTTGCACCCCCTAACCCGGGGCAAGGCAAGTAATTTGCGCCCCCTAACCCCTAACCTGCCGCCGCTGCCAGCTTCTTCTTGCTGCTGCCTGGGCTGCGGTATTTACGGTAAGGTAGCCACGGCGGCGGCAGCGGGTCCGTGTCAGGTGATCTGAGGCGAGTTGCCGCTGGCGCTGCCACCCAAACGACGCCGCTTGCCCGGAGGAGGAGGGCAGAGAGGCGAGGAAAATGCAACATGGCCCAGCAGCTGCAGCAGCGGCGGCGGCAGCGGGGCTGCCTGGCGCGCCCTCCACGGCCCTGATGCGCGGGGACCGCGGCGAACGCTGAGAGCCACTGCCAGCTCGTCGGTTCTGCGAGACATGGGGCTCTGCTACAGCCTGCGCCCGAGGCTCTTCGGCGACTCCGGAGGCGGCGAGCGCCCCCCCCAGATGTTGCGCCCGGTGCGGCTGGCCCCCCTGCACCCCCCACGCTACGCCACTGGTTGTACACAAATGGCAAGGGACGCGGGTGGCGCTGTGGTCTAAACCACAAAGCCTAAGGCTTGCCGATCAGAAGGTCAGCGGTTCGAATCCCCACGACGGGGTGAGCTCCCTTTGCTCAGTCACTGCTCCTGCCAACCTAGCACATCAAAGTGCAAGTAGATAAACAGGTACCGCTCTAGCGGGAAGGTAAACGCTGTTTCTGTGCGCTGCTCTGGTTCACCAGAAGTGGCTTAGTCATGCTGGCCACATGACCCGGAAGCTGTCTGTGGACAAACACTGGCTCCCTCGGCCACTAAAGCGAGATGAGCGCCGCAACCCCAGAGTCGTCCTCGACTGGACTTAACGGTCAGGGGTCCTTTACCTTTTTACACAGATGGCAGACGGAAACCAGCTTGCAAAGTGCAAACCTCCATGATGGCAATAAATGAAACTCTCACTTCCCACTTAATGCTTTCATGTATCTTATTGTATATGGTCAAGGGGTGGACAGACATTTTCCTCAGAAGCGAATGGAGGGGAAGAAAGGATGTGAAAGCCAGTATAGTGGTTAGACTGCTGGACTAAGATCTCAGAGATCAAATCCACGCTCAGCCATGAATGGGTAGACTGGGGAACCTTGGATAAACCACTCTCTTTCAGGCTAACATACCTCACTGGTTTGTTCTACAGATAAAAGGGACAGGGAGAGAGTCATGTATGCCTCCCTGAATGCTTCGGAGAAAAGGCAGGATATAAATGTGGTTGGTGTTGTTATGTTCACACAGTTCCACAGAATGATGGAAAGGGGATTCCATGAGGCTGGAATAAAAGCACCTGCCTCTGGCATTTGGATCTGGACAGCTATACTTGCACGATCAGACATCTCCTTGTAAGTAACTCATTCAAAAATGGTTAAACTGGCACAAAGTTTTAATGTCTTTGTGGGAGGAGATGGTTGTTTTGATT